TTTGCGTGTGCCGTGCGCTCTTGACGCGCTCGCAAACACTGCTTGTCTTTTCAGATCGTGCCCACTTGTACATGTGATGCCACCAAAATTGGGCACTGAGAGACTGGTACATGTTTACACGGCCAAAGCGTTCAACCATCGGCCTATCATACATCTCTTACACCATCTTGTACATCGATCCATCGTTGTGGAAATCACTATTCGTGGCTCGTCGTCATGTGCAACTTCGTAGTGAAGAAGACCACTTTCCACGCATAACGATGCAACCTTGATTTCAAGCGACCAGAAAGCTTGTCAAGACGTTTCATAGCACTCCATGACAGTGCTCTGATGATCAAATCACACTGTTTATCTGCTACATACGGTCGAAGTATCATATTAAAAACATCGCTTTCGATATAGATGATTTGCGATAACTCATAATCAGTATGAAGTGACAATGAATCTGCCAGCATGTTCAGTTTCCCTGGCTTGTACGCAACCGTGAAGTTGTATTTCGCGAAGAATGGCAACCAGCGGGCCATTTGTGACAAGTAAGCCGACTGAATTGCATAGCGCAAGCTTGCCCGATCCGTGTAGACGATAAACGGAGTTGAACCCAAGAGGCGAGCACGAAGCTTCACCAGAGCATATTTCATAGCTCCTTGTCGTCTAAAGGACATTTCTTTTCTGCTGAATTCAGCTGCTGCAATTGACACGATCGTGTCATTCGAAGTTCTTTTGCAATAATTCACTACCAATTGCAAACTCAGAAGCGTCACACACCAAGCTACTGCTTCGTATGCTCTCATTAAGCAAGTAATTGCGCTTAAATCAAGCTGTTCTTGACTTAGGCTAACGCTTCTTCACAAGTGGATGACCACTCCCATGGTACGTCCTTCTTCAGCAAGGTTGATAGTGGGAGTACCGTTTCCACGTAGTAACGCGAGAAGCGATGCAGGTAATTTTGTCAAACAAGCTATTATTTCAAATTCGCTCATTCCGTGGCATTGGCCACTCCATGACTTTTCAGGACTGCATGAACATCGTGTTCACCAGCATGACAACCAAGGACCGGATCTTCGTTTTGCAGCATTTGCTTGCAACGAATGATCATGCATACATTCTAGCAATGCACGAAGGTGCTTTAGGTCATTTCTTCGGCAGATCTGCCATCTTCGACCTTCGAATGAGCAAAAAATTGTCAAAGTATGTTGTGCAAAGCGTCGCAGTGATCGGAACAGATGTATGACCTATCAATTGAACGTTGCTGGGGTATTCGATAGCTCCTGTGGTATCACAAGCCACTCATGTAACACATCGGACGGTGTACTGACGCCTGTCAAAAATACGGCCTCCTTCCTCACAATAATTGATATTTTCTATTGACCAAATCAACCGTGTACAACCGGAATTACGGTGGATGATGACAATCTTGCGCAGAATCAGTTTCTTGCGCGGGAGTTGTCATCGCATTCAATTTGTTATAGACGTGAACGATATCCCATTAATTATTTGGTTTACGCACACAAAACCTCGATACGCTGTTAGGTGACTTGCTCTCCCTCACCAACCCAGCAGATTGATTCTGAGCAGTGAGGTCTTCAACATACTCGCTTTACTCACGCGACAGTGAACACTGTCGAAGCACTGGATGATTTGAGCCAGATTCACGATCAATTTCGTGTCGGACTCCACATTTAGGTAGAAGACCAGAGGGTAGGTTCGTGCTAAGGACGTCATCCTTGTACTCCATAACAAGTGAACAATAAGGATCAGTTGGATTTTCAAAATTGCATATCATCTGCGTTACTCCACATGCTATCGAAATATCTCGAGAGCCGAAATATTCATATATGATGATTAGCATATTTCCACTGAGTCAACCTTCGACTTTAGCAACACCACCTCCGCAATGTCATTACACTTAAGGTTGTGTTGGAAGTGAATTTTTCAAGCTGCACCAGCTCTTCCATCGTCGGTAACCGTGCTAAAAAAATGTTTTTACTGGTAACTTCAAAACCGGTAGTTGCATCCACATTATGTGGACCAGCATATCTGCATGCTTTATTACCATTATGAGGAGTAGTACGCCGGATCAACAAATTCGCGAACTCAACCGCATCCAGAGCGTATCAGTACCGCGATCGACAAATATCGTTCATTCCATCACATGTGTGTGCTCAACCACACAACGGGTTTTGAGCTTCACCTTTGCGGTCAGTTGTATCCACTGACCCACAATCCGACTCAACGACTGTGCTAGTGAGAGTATTGGCGCATTCACACACAGTCTATTCCTTCAATTTGTCAATACACACATGTCGACAGCATTTTTCTGTCTTGAGGGAGCATCTCTCTTTTCACAAACTCTTTTCGTTGGACACTAAGTTATCATTTCTTTTCAAGTGGCCGGTTCCGGGCATCTCTTGATCAATTGCCTAAATGACCACCGTGGCCACTCCATTCGATTTCATGACTTATACCAATGAAGTGTGGCTCATTTCCAGCATCATATGACTGTCGAGCGCTTGAGCGCTTCCTCTGGTGCATAGTGAATGTGGGCTCATTACTGCCAAGAATTTCGCTTACGCCAAAGGAGCTACTTTCAGTCATTTTCGATTATCAATTATTCCACAATTTATATTTCTCAAACCACAGTGTACCAAAAATCAGGTCATACCGTTCGTCCATCTCCGAGACCGTGTATTTCCTTCGAGTATAGGTCTTCGAACGTCAGTTGGAGATCAGCCATAATCTTCTTTGCGGTGACCACCACACCAGTGGCCAACTTTATTGAGACAAAGCCATTGCTTCTATCTAGTGACCCAATCGCACTGAATAATTTTCATCAACGCTTTGCTTCCCCGCGTAGTTATGCGACGCGCCGCGCTCGATCAAGACTCAAAAGAGACGATCTTAACCCTGCACATTCGCTATGACCACGAGAGGATCACATTAACTCGTGTTGTTAAGGAAGAACAACGATCCTCCGACGGCTAAACACTCATAAGTGATTCAACCACCACACTAACAAGAGCTTATATCTTTCCCCAGTAGACCGTCCTACATGCATCTGCTGGTTTCAGTGTTTCTGATACGCCTCGTGGTATTGACACTACGTGACTCGGAACCATTACGAAGCAACCGAATTGAAAGGCTCTCACGTGACCAATCATGACATGTGTGACCGAATTGTTGATATTTTGCTGCCTACGGACATAAATCTTGCTAAGGTCTATTGGTTCTGGATATCCCTGAGCAGCAGTCACTGCTTATATTGGGTTGACCAATTGACCACATGACGGTAGTCCTCGCGAAATACAATCATAATTGCATCTTCCCGAGTCGTCAAACTCTGCATGGCGGAAGACTGTAGCCTTAGAGGGCCTTAAGTGAGTCTCACCATAAACACAGTGACCACCGATCCTCTGGCTGTGATTCGCTTGACATACCGGTACGAGGCTCATGGAGCTTCTGTACGTAGTTGTGCAATGTACTGTTGTCTTGCCGGCAAGACAAAATTCGACCGCGGTCAAAATGGTACATTCGTTGGAAGGAACATCGATTCCATGGCCTTCTCCAACACTTGACATGTGGGGAAGTAGCCAGGGCGATTTACTTTGCCATCGCTCAATCATTCGACGGCCATCCAATGCGACATGTCAAAGGCCACTTGACTACGGTCATCACGAATTTAAGCCATTGTAATAGCGATGTCCATTTTCTCGCTGCCAAAACGCAAGACTTCATCTTTGTTCTTGTAAAATCTTTTTACCTTGATATTAACGGGACGTTTCGTGTGTTCCGACGGTGTTACCATCACTTGTTGAGGAGGTGATGGAGATGACGTCGGTATGTTCTAGATTAAAAGCATAATACTCCTTGCTCATACGCAACAAAATTTGCTTAGCGATAAACTTCACCAAACACTCCCATTGCGAGTATTTTAGAAGCAAACTTCCTTCCTTTTGATCGAAGGATGACCATCGCACATTAAACATCGATCAAACCGTCAATGTTGTCGGCGTTGGAATGACTACTAGGGCTACCAAGTGCAACGGAAATTGTCCGTTCGTGTACAAAAACTTACTGAGGAAGGCTTAGGTCAATTGACAAGCCCCACTGCGCGTTGTTGACGACGTTAATACGAGAAAAATAATGTGACATTTATTATTATCTATAGGCCTTAACCCTTCTTTAAACCGGTAAATGCCTGCATTTCTGAAGCAACAGAATTAAAGGGGGAATCCAACTATACAGGGTTATATTTCAAGTTGAACACACATAAAAATGTGGCACACATAATAGTTGTAATGGGACCTGGCCCATTACACTTAGGGAAACTTCCAGTCTAGAGGTTCACCCCGGTCACTCCATACACATGTGAATTACCTTTTTGCAACAAAATCGTGAGCCTTCACTAGCTCGAACGGTGGAGAATCACGCGGTTGTGCTGATGCAGGAGCAAAGCTATATCTTGACAGTAACTTAATATCCTTGATTACTATTGGATCTGGTCTCTCAACTTGCGTCTTATCGTCGCTTGCCCCCATTAGCCCTGACACAGGGATCACGATACACATTTGCTTTTACTCGTTTCAACCGTAACTGGGATAAGGGACGTTAGCACACAGCTTCTATCAAACTTTTCACTAAAACACATTTTGGAAACCGCGACAAACGGTCACTATTTTTTGTCATTGCTATATGTTGTTTGTGAAGCTGCGGTATTCGCCATTTTCTGTCTCATACCAAAACCGCGGCTTACTGATTCTTCTGTATTCTAACGTTAGCTCAAGACATTCAGCAATATCGTGGTTCATCGATATGAACGACACCGAAGCTATTGTATCATCATTTACGCGTGAAATATGATTATATTTTCCGGCATAAATGCAATCATGATTCGCTAAAGATCCACTGCGGAGCACTCAGCGTCTTCTACATCCAGCCAATCCAAGGCACATGGCGTTTTCTCCGCGCCAAGTCTAAGATGAAATCGTATGCTGCGATCAGGGCTAGATCAAATTTTGTTTCACACCGTCAGAAGTCTCAAACCTTTCAGGAAGGCCCAAATAGCCTTTAGCCTGTTCCAGCTAACCGTGTACGTATCCGGCATCTTCAATATCCCGTGCTCTGTTCACACCTTTTGATCATCGCCCGCGTTCCATAAATTCACGATGACGTTCCGAAGTATCCTTGGCTTCATATAGTCCGTGTCCTGCCTAAACATCAGATCTCTGTTTCTACTCAGTATAGCTGAGGTTTATTGCATCTGACGTGGTCGTAGATCTTGCGCCTCCCATACTCCATCCAATTTTCGCGGCATGGAAGTTAAACTCCGCATATCATATGCCGCGGCTTCGACTGATGTTGGGTGGATGCAGAAGGCCTTAGTGTAATGGAATTACACGAACCCTTGTACATAGTTTCCAGACACCTTGCTCCCGAGAGTCCATGGGAGCGCAACGCACATATTATCACCCGCGTATGCGGCGCGAATCAAATCCGTCACTGACGACGTCACCGTCGTGACATCAGCAAGATGCGTGACAACGCATAATAAGCCAAAGCATTCTACTTTTTTTGCTTATCCCCGAAGGTAGCTCACTAGAATCTCTTTCTCTAAGCTGTCGTGTGAGGATGGATGATTGAATACTGTAAACAGATCTACTTGGATAGAATTGGTATGAGGGGTATTGTTTTTGAATTAACGTCCCCTCAAACGTTTTCCGTCACATTATACAGGATAAACAGATAATCTGCGAAGAAGGAGAGCCACCTGGCTATCCTCTGCAAGAGGTGAAGGAACTGAGTCGCAGTGTGTAGCAACGCATGCACCG